AAAACAAAAGGAGAAGAAATAGTAAATCAGCAGTAAGCGGGAAAAAAAAATAAACAGCGAAAATATAATACCCACCGATGCAATGGGGGGGGGGGAGAAGAAGAAGAAGAAAAAAGCAAAAATTACAAAAAGAGGCGAAAAAGGGGGGGAAAAAGTGATGAAAAAAGTGATGAAAAAGTAGACGAGAACAGGATAATTGAAGTGAAGGAGAGCTGAGACCTCGAGGGCGCCGTTGAGTATGGGAGGAGGAGACGGAGGGGAGGGGGGGGAGGAGAGCGAAAGGAGAAGAGAGATAGGTTGGAGAGGGGGGGGAGGGAGGGGCAGGGATGGAGAGGAGAGAAAAAGGGAGAGGAGAATGAGAGAGAGAAAGAGAGGCAGGGAAGCGATAGGGGGTGGGGTGAGGGGCAGGAAGGGTAAGGAGAGAGGGGGGAAAAGGAGAAGTGGAAGAGAGAGTGAGGAGAGAGACGAGAAGTAGAAGAGAGGGAGGTAGGGAAGCGATAGCGGGATTGAGGAAAGAAAGGGATGGAGAGAGGGATGAGGAATGGGGGAAGGAGAAGAGGAAAAATGGACAGGGAAGCGATAGAGTGGAAGGAGGAAAGGGGAGAGGGAATGAGGGAGAGAAGAGAGAAGAGGGAAGAGGGAAAGGGGAAGGGAAGAGGGGAAAAGGAGAGGGAAAGAAGAAAAGAAGAAAAGAAAGGAGAGAGGGGAATGGCTGGGGAGAAGAGGAAGGGGAAGAAAGGTGAGAGGGATAAGGCAGGGGTGTTAAAATAAGAGAAGGGAAGAGACAGAATAGAGGAGAAAGAGAGAGAGAGAGAGAGAGAGAGAGAGAGAGAGAGAGAGAGAGAGAGAGAGAGAGAGAGAGAGAGAGAGAGAGAGAGAGAGAGAGAGAGAGAGAGAGAGAGAGAGAGAGAGAGAGAGAGAGAGAGAGGAGAGAGAGAGAGAGAGAGAGAGAGAGAGAGAGAGAGAGAGAGAGAGAGACAGACAAACAGAGACAGACAGACAGACGAAGGGGATGGTATGAGAATAGAGTACGAAAGGTAGGGAGTAGATAGGAAGAGACATGATAACGGGCATAGGGGGAGGGGGATATGGCAGGGAGGAGAAAAGGGATTTGATAGGAGGAAGAGGACGAGTAGGGGCAGGGGGAGGGGGGGAGTAAGGGAGGGGGGGGAGGGGAGAGAGCCTGGCCCTCTGTCGACATGCAGATAACAGGACTAAACAGGAGAGCGGTGGCGACAGCGAGCTCAACCGGCCCGAGTGCCCTCATGCGGCCTGCTGGGCTTGATAATGGGTAATGTATGACCCTCATGCGCCCATCTCGCCTCGAGGGATCGTGTTTCTACGAGGCGGGGGGCGCTGAGGTGCATGGGGGGGGGGGGGGGAGGGATAGAGTGGGAAGATGTGGATGAGGGATGGGGGGGGGGAGAATGGATGAGGGATGAGGGGGGGAGATGTGGATGAGGGATGGGGGGGAAGATGTGGATGAGGGATGAGGGGGGAGATGTGGATGAGGGATGAGGGGGGGAGATGTGGATGAGGGATGGGGATGAGGGATGGGGGGGGATGGGGGTGGAAGATGGGGATAAGCGTGCAGGTAAAAAAAAGAAGAAAATAGAGGGAAATAAAAATTAAGATATGTAAGTAATACAAAAGCAAAGATGTGGGCGTATAAACAGTATGGGTGGACACGTATACAGGTACAGACAGAGACAGAGACAGACACACACACACACACACACACACACACACACACACACACACACACACACACACACACACACACACACACACACACACACACACACACACAAAGGTCAAGACGACTCGTGACTCACTCACCTGTTCAGCACCATGGCTTCGACCCGCACCGGCTATCAAGGTGTGGGGGGGGAGAGGAGGGGAGAGAAGAGGGGGAAGAGTAGGGGGTTGATACGCGTGGAGGGGATGGAGGGGGGGGAGGAGGGCTAGCGTATCCACCTATGACACCCCCCTTTCGCTGACGTTACTTCTCCAAGGACACGTGTATATTTGTCTTTTTTTTGTATGTGTGTATTTCGTCTCTTTTTTTTCTCTCTCTCTCTGTTTTTTTTTTAACTTCACATTCCTTTCGGCTTCTTTTTTTTTCTCTTCTCTTTTTATATCTCGTTCATATATATTTTTTTTTCCTTTTTTTCCACTTCTCTTTTCTTATCCTCCTCCTTCTCTATCCTTCTCTTTCTCCTCCTTTATCTCCTTCAGCGTCAGCACAGATTAGCACTAATCACCTCCTATTCCGTCTCTTCCTTCGACCCTCTACTTCCTCTCCGCCTCCTGCCAATTTCTGCCTCTTCCTCCTCCTCCTCCTCCTACGTCTCTCCCTCTCTCTTCTTTCTCCTTTTCTTCCTCTTCTCTTTCGCTTTCCTCCTCACACCATTCCGCATCGACTTGTCCTTCGGTATTTCCTTATCCACTGAAATTTTTCCTTTCTTCCTCTTATCATGAGGTATCTCCTGTCCGTAACCTATTTTCACGAAGGGGGGAATATGGATAAAATGATAAACGACAGATATAACACGAAGAATAGAGGCATTAAACGGAGGGATATACGAACAAAATGGTAAATGAAGGGAGAGGAGGAAGGGGAAGGGGAAGGGGAAGGGGAAGGGGAATGGGAAGGAGAAGGGGAAGGGGAAAAAAAGAGGAGAAGTGAAAGAGAGGGGAGAGGAAGAAAGAAAATGTAGAGGTGGAAGGAAGGAGAGAGAGAAAAAGGAAATAAAATCGAAAGGGAACAGAAAATAGACAGATAAAAACAGAAGAACAGACAACAAAAGGGAAATAATAAACGACGAATAAACGATAAACGACAAGCAAAAAATCAATAACTAATATAAAAACAATACGGAAACAACGACGAAACGACCCGATCTGGCGTAACGGGATTCGATCTGACGCAAAAAAAAAAAAAAAAAACATTAATCCGGCGAAAAGATTACCGCGATTCCTTATAATTTCATAGACCATTAGTAATCCCCCCCCCCTTTTCTCTCCCTTCCTCCCTTTACTCACTCCCCTTAGCGTCCTTTTCCTTTATCCCCAGTTTTCTTATTTTCTTTTATTCCCTTCACATACGCCCTTTAGCGCTCTCCTTTTTTAAAAACTTTTTTTTTATTTTTATAATCAATATTCTCTTCTATTCTTCTCCCCTTCTTAGTGACCGTCTCCCCCCCCCCCTTTCCCTTTCCCTTTCTCTTCTCCTTTCTGTTCTCTTTCCTCCCTCTCCCTCAAATTATCCGCATTCGCCATTACGTTTCCTCTCCGCCCTCGTGATCCCTCTCTTTTATTTCTTCTTTATTCACTCTTATTCTCCCTCTTCTTTTCTTTCATCTCTCTCCCTCATCTGCATTCGCAACTACACACCCTATTTCCTCCGCGGCCTTCACCCTCCCGTCTGCCTTCCCTCCCTCCTCCATCCTACGCATCCACCCTCCCTCCCTTCCCCCCTCCTTCCCTCCCTCCCTCTCTCCCTCGCTCCCTCCCTCCCATCCTACCCTCCCATCCCCCCTCCACCCTCCCTCCCTCCCTCCCCATTCACCCTCCCTCCTTCCCCCCCCCCCCCCCCCCTACCAGCCAGATAGGAAGGACGACGTGAGTAAAGGCCAGTGAGTAAGCGAGTGTATATACCTTCTCGTAACAGTGGCGCCATTGTAGTGGGGGGGGAGGGGGCGACGGTGTTGAAGGTGGGGGATAGGGAGATGGGGAGGGAGATGGGGAGGGGGAGGGATATGGGGAGGGGGAGGGAGATAGGGAGGGAGATGGAGAAGGGAAGAGGGAGGGGGTAGAGAGAGAGAGAGAAGGAGAGGATGAGGGATGGGGAGTGGGAGATGGAGAAGGGAAGGGGGAGGGGGTAGAGAGAGAGAGAGAGAAGGAGAGGATGAGGGAGTGGAAGAGGGAGAGGGGGGAGAGAGGGAGTGGGAGAGATACGAGATAGAGAGAAGGGGAGGGGGAAGGGAGAAAAGGAGAGGGTGGGGGAGAGGGAGAAGGAGAGAGAGAGAAAAGGCGAAGGAGAAAAGATAGAGAAGAGAAACCAGAGAAGAAAAGAGGAGAAGCGACAACGAAAGAGGAGAAAAAAAGAGGAATAATAAGAAGAAAGAACCTAACGAAGAAAAAGAATAATAATAAGGGGAATTAAAAGAAACGAGAACGCCGGAAGGAAGAACGAGGGGGAAAGGGATGAAGGTAGAATAGGGAGAAAAGAGGGGAGAGAAGGGGAAAATAAGTTCTCCGAAAGGGTACGACTGGTAGGTGATAATGGACCCAATATCATTACGGGGCCTATCAAGGTTTAATCTTAATAGCGCATAAAGACCAGACACTCAAGGAAAAAATGGGGGGAAAAAAATCAAAGAAGGCATTAAGAATATTGAAATGGCGAATAAATAATAATAAAAAAAATACAGAACTTCAAAAGATAGAAAAAAACTCAAAACAGAAACAAAAAAACATGTCTAAAACGCTTCATCGGAACGTCCCCTCCCCCACCCCCCAAAAAAAAAACAGTAATCCCCTCAAAAAAAAGGTATCAACCCCCTGAACAACCCCCTGAGAATTCACTGACACCCTTAAAATACACCCCGCCCCCTGCAAAATACAGACACGCCCCCCCAACCCCAACCCCCTTCTACGAAAAAAAACACCTACAAAAATACAGCGAAGCTATCGTGAAGATGTCGTCAAGAGGGTGCCACGGGCGGAACAGACAGCGTCACGGCCGGAGCCTGGGCAACCCTACAAGGTGAGGGAGGCCTCTGCGGTGGAGGGAGGGAGGAGATGGAATGGGAGGGAAGAGAGAGAGAGAGAGAGAGAGAGAGAGGAGGGGAGGGGGGAGGGGTGGTTCTGCTGCTAAGTTCCGGCCGCTACAACGCTGTGGCTTCCTTTTGACGCGTCCCCTTAGCCATGCCATCCCGTTCCTCTGCTGTTTGGTCTTCCTCTCCCTTTCTTCTATCTCTCTCTCTTTTTTTTAGGAGGGGGTCCCTTTCTCTTCCTGTACTTTGGTTTCTATTTTTTACTCCTCCCCTCTGTCTGTCTGTCTCTCCTCTTTCCCTCAACCTCTCTCTCAACCTCCCCCCCCCTCTTTCTCTCTCTCTCTCTCTCTCTCTCTCTCTCTCTCTCTCTCTCTCTCTCTCTCTCTCTCTCTCTCTCTCTCTCTCTCTCTCTCTCTCTCTCTCCTCCATTTTTTCTTCCTTCCCTCTTTACCTCCTTTCCTCCCTCTTTACCTCCTTCCCTCTTTACCACCTCCTTCCTCCCTCTTCCCTCCTCCCTCCCTGCCTCCCTCCCTCCCTCCCTCCTTCCTTCCTTCCTTCTTTCCTTTCTTTCTTCCTCCCTTCCTCCTTCCCTCTTAATGAACTTATCGAAATAAATTTTTTCTCCTATTCCTTCCGTTAATCTCTCTCTCTCTCTCTCTCTCTCTCTCTCTCTCTCTCTCTCTCTCTCTCTCTCTCTCTCTCTCTCTCTCTCTCTCTCTCTCTCTCCCCTTACCGCACCCGTTAGCTTAACAGGAGTCCAACGCATAGGCAAGGTACACACTTCCCCGAAACCCTCTCATTACACCTAGAAACGAAAAGAGAAAATAAAAAAAATAAATAAATAAATAACACTAAGAAATGCATACCAACAAACGCATCGATACAAACGAGAAGCTCCCACCACACGCACAAACACACACATCAATATGGCATAGCGTGTTAGTCCCCTCCCCATCCCTCCCTCCTTCCCTCCCTATTCCTTTGTCCCTTCCCTTCCCCTCTTCTACCCTCCCTTCCCTTCCCTTCCCTTCTTCTACCTTCCCTTCCCTTCTCTTACCCTCCCTTCCCTTTCCCTCCCTCCCTTCCCTTTCCTTCCCTTTCCCTCCCTACCTTCCCTTCCCTTCCCTATCCCTCCCTCCCTCCCTCCCTCCCTCCCTCCCTCCCCTCCCTTCCCTCCCCACCCAAGACAGTACCCCCATCCCCATCCTCAACTCCCTAGGTATCAACCCATCCCCCTCACCCCCACCCCCACACTGCACAATTGGCACATAAACTCTCCCCCAACCACGTGATCGATACCCACCCCTGTCCCATACCCCCTCTACCTCCTCCCTCTACCTCCTCCCTCTACCACCTCCCTCTCTCTCCCTCACACTTCTCTACTAACTAGCGTGACCTGAGGTTTGAAGGGTGGAGGGCAGAGGGCGTACTCTCGCTTCTTGTCTCTTTCCTTCTTCCTCTTCCTAACCCCCCCCCTCTCTCTCTCTCTCTCTCTCTCTCTCTCTCTCTCTCTCTCTCCTCTCTCTCTCTCTCTCTCTCTCTCTCTCTCTCTGTGTGTGTGTGTGTGTGTGTGTGTGTGTGTGTGTGTGTGTGTGTGTGTGTGTGAGTGTGTGTGTGTGAATATTTGTGTTCATTTGCGTATGCTTGTAAATGTATTATTTCTTATCTTATGCCATTCATAACTTTTCCCCTTTCCTTCATCCCTATCACCCCCCCCCCCCTCCCGCACACAAACCATCCTCAAGTGGCTGGGTGACACGAGGAGGGAGGGAGGGAGGAGAGAGAGGGGAGAGGGAGAGGGGAGAGGGAGAGGGGAGAGGGGAGAGGGGGAGAGGGGAGAGGGAGAGGGAGAGAGTGAGAGTGAGAGTGAGAGTGAGAGTGAGAGTGAGAGAGAGAGAGAGAGAGAGAGAGAGGAGAGAGAGAGAGAGAGAGAGAGAGAGAGAGAGAGAGAGAGAGAGAGAGAGAGAGACAGAGACAGACAAAAACAAGAGAGAAAAGAGATAAAGAAAAAAAAAAGGAGGGAGGAAACGAAGAACAAGGAAGAGGGAGGGGGGAGGGAGGGAGAACCGCCCCTTTGCGTGCCCCCCTCCCCCCCCCCGTCCCCCGCCAGATTTCTTTTTCTATTGATTCATTTATCGACCGCGGTTCGAGACGCGAATCGACCCGTCTCCCCCCTCCCCCCTCCCCCCTGGTTCCCCGCCCGCCGGACCCCCGAGCCGCCACAAATAACAGCGGCGCCACCTTTGTTGTCACTGCCACCGCCGTAACCGCTTCCAACAGTGACACTACAGTAAAGAGCCTACATCATCTATTGACACTGGTAAGACGGCACCTTCGCCTCTGTGCCCTTCTCTCTTTTTTCTACTCTCTCTCTCTCATTCTCTCATTCTCTCACTCACTCACTCACTCTCTCTCTCTCTCTCTCATTCTCTCACTCACTCTCTCTCTCTCTCTCTCATTCTCTCACTCACTCACTCTCTCTCTCTCTCTCTCTCTCTCTCTCTCTCTCTCTCTCTCTCTCTCTTCCTCCCCCTCCCCCCCTTTTCTCCTCCATCTCACCCTCATCTTCATACTCATCCCCACTCACACCTTCATCCTCACCTACACACACCCCTCCCCTCCCTCTCATGATTCACCCTCTCCCTCCTCTTCACCATCACCCTTTCCCTCCTCTTCACCATCACCCTCTCCCTCCTCTTCACCATCACCCTCTCCCTCC